GGCAGAGAATAAAAAGATGGCTCATGCATTATTATGGATCCAAGTCTGTAAGTTGAGTCTCTTTAAAACTAAACAAATGTAGTGCATTAAAAAAAAGTTAGAAAGATAATTTAGTCGAAATGCGGGCAAACGTCGTGGCTCCACAAGGGACATGAAAGATGGTATAATCAAACTATTTTTTCTGCCGTGAAAAGAGATGACGAAGCCTCGGGGAAATCGGTTCGCCTGCGGAAGTTCTGAACTTTCTCAGTCGCGTGCTGATCGGCTCATGTGGCTCTGGTTCTGGCATAGTGGGCGCGTCTGATTGAGACCGTTCATCCTTCTGGACGTGTGAGCCATCAGTTCGCCCCTCTTGGCCACTATCCACTTGAGCCCTGGCCACATGTCCGACCGGCAAGGGTTCGGACAACTCCGGCAAGGCCTGTGAGATAGGCGCAGTGGAGCCCGCCTCAACTGGACTACCACTCGGTTCAGGAACTAAAGCCCTCGACGTACCAGCTTCCTGATTGAGCTCAGAAAAATGTGTCGCAGGCCATTCTTGCAACTGGCCCCGACGGACGGCACGAGCGAACAATGGACCACTTTGGCTGGTGCTGACCGCAGAGGCAAGAAGAGGGTTGGCCATGGTTGGAGGGGAGGGGGGCTGTGAGACCAGAGAGCGAATTGTCACGTTCGTGTGGGCCGGGTCAGCAGCAGTGACCGTGGCATCTGGTGCCTTGAGAGCGGCAAACTGGACCGCTTGAGCCTCGACAACAGAACTAGAACCAACGACAGCGAAACCGGCAGAAGTGGGCGAGGAGACGGCTAACCTGCTTCTGTGAATAGGCAGTGTCTGTGACCAAATACCAGAGAATTGAGCCGCATGGCTGCAAGCAGAGACAGCCGGAAATGCAGTTGCTGTGGGGGGCGGTGTTGCTGATACTGTCGGCGGTTGCTGTGATGTGGGAAAAATGGAAGGCCCAGGACGGTCTGGCTTGAAGAGATGACGACGAGTGATCATGGCTGAGTAAGAGCCCATCACCTCCAAGTCTAAATAGGCAAGTTTAATCAGTTTCTAAAAATTGCTTATGGTTGAACAAACGTAGAAACTAGAAAAAAGAAGTTGCGGGAACTCATCCTAGTAGCTTCATATTTCGCTGGTCGGTGCTGATTCTCTTAAGCGTCCCAATCTCGGTCACATTCAGGAAAAGACAAATCGGTTAAAAACGCAGACTTAAATTTTTGTTTTTATTCGATAAACTTGAGCTTTATGGTCATCTTAGTCAAAAAACAAAACACTTATCTTATTTAATGCAAAGAGGAGGACAAGAAATTAAAACGTGATGGGGCATTTAGGGGCTCCTCACCAACTCATTTAAAAAAACACAATTTAGTCGGCGTTTAAATATTGTTCACAGAAAGTTCAACATTTGTTGGAACGATGAGGGTCTAGGCCTCTTTCTCAATATGAGGGAATATTCCAAGTTCCATTCATGAGATT